GGGTGGCCATATTTATGTACTAAAACTGTAAAAGGCAAGTCTTTTGTGTTCACTTATTGAAATTGCACCTTTCCTAAAAATATACAGCGTCAACTCTGAGCGTTTCACAACTTCAGAAAGTGTTAAAATTGCTTATTAATATGCATATATCCTGTAATTCACAGTGACATCTGCTTGCTCTTAAAACCCCCACGGTGGTGAAAGGCGTTTCTTGTGATGCGCAGTACCTGTTGTGTAACACTTCTACAACTTCAAAGGGCAGTTCTGACCAGCCCGCTGACTTTGTTCCAGAGTGTGCCCTTGAAAAATGCTTTCTGTTTAGAACTGCTCTTTACTTCCTGCTTTGACCATGTGAGATCAGTAGCCTTATGTTTCATATCAGCAGGTACTTTCTACAGCTCTTTCTGGTCTTTAACTTCTGAAATGGCTTCATCACTTTTAGATTTAGATTTCTGCCAGTTCACACATGGCTTTGTCTGAGGCATCTCTGCAGTGGTTTCTTCACTGTTCTTCAGCTCTCTGCCCTCACATGACTAATGAGAACCTAACTGCCAGCAAAAAAATCCTTTCCAAGTAGAAGGCAGATGTTTTGGGACTTTCCAGCAGATGTTTAAATTCCATTTAGCTTGCAGCTTTGTGATTAAAAGGAATAGGTGCTGCAGATAAAAAAAAAAGCAATTTGTGATTGCAAATATATAAACAGCAGAACAATAATGCTTCCAAATCCAGGTTCTTCAACCCAAAATTGTAATTATAGAGAAGTTAATTTATAGAATACATGCAAGTCTAAAATTAGAGGTTTTTAATGAATAAGAGTAGAGGAGATCTAGGCGCAAATGCCAGGGCTTTGAGCAGCGCTTTTGAAAACATGTTCTCTGTGTCTCCATGTGCTTCCACTGGATGACACCTGTAGTTGTGTATTTAAGATTAGATTGGAAAGGTGGCATTAACTACCCATGGAAATCTCAATGTATACCTTTATATGCTCAATGCACTGTGCAGTGTCAATAGCATTATAATAGAGAGCTCAATTTGAAATGACAGCTGAAGATCAATTATATACATTCCTGCCAATTTTCGACAATTAATTCTAGGTGACAATTCTGAGATTTGTTTTTTTGTTGTTTTGGTGGGGAGGTCAGACAAGGTCGGAGTCTTATCTGGTGGAGGCTGGCTTTAATTGGGGCTTCTCTTGGCTGTGCCTGTGCACCTGTTGTGTGGGGCTCCAGTCAGCTGGCAGGTCCAGAGGAGCCCAGATAAAGACAGGACCAGGTGTCCTGCCTGGCGCTCTTAATTGAGCTACAGTGTAAACAATATACACTTTGCAATGTAATGTGGCTAAAGGCATGGATTAGAGCTGGAGGTTTCCTGGCTATGTGGAATCTCTCGTCTTTTCAATTGGTGAACCCAGCTAAATCCCACTTAAGGTCTTAAGCAGGCGAACACTGTCGGAGAGCGGAGAAGAAAATACGGAGAATTAAAACCAGTAATTTTAGTTGTCCTGCAACCCTGTATCTTGGTATACAAATGCCTCTGCCTGCCAGCCCTTCACTTGGATTTGTTTTAAAAGAGTTAACAAACAGGTGTAAGTTATCAACAAGGTATTTTAAGCAGCATCTTAATATAAGCTACAGACATACTGATAAAGAGCTATTGTGTGGATTGCAGTATTGCATATTGTATTAGTATTACTAGCAACAGAACTTATGTGATTGTGTTCACTTGTCATCAAAGATAACTGCTGCTCAGTGGTGCCTAGAATAAACTTTTTAAGGGATGACATTTTTCTTGCGAGATGGTCTGTTTTTGATCATTTGATGTAATGGATTTTATTAGGAAATTAAATACACCCTAGTCTTTTAAATTAGCATTATAAAGAGCAAGCTCTTTCACTAAGCCTGGATTAAATAATTCTAAACCTCTGCCGCAGCTCCATGTAAACGGCACCACTCTAGAAATCCATCCCCTTGCCTTTTACAACAAATGGCCATGATGAAAAAGGTCAGCAGTCCATTTTGCTTTGAAAATAAACCCGTTGTGGAGCTCAGCTGCTTTATGAGACTGCTCTTGTCAGAGGAGACCAAGGCCCTGTTCTTTAAAAGGAAACAGCTTGTTTAGATAGCAGCTAGTTCTCCTGTGGTCTGCCAGCTTTTTTCTCTTCCTGGCAAGCACCATGAGCGTGAAAAAAAGGAATGATCAATTGGGAAGCTATCAGTACCAGCATGTTCAGAGTGGTGAATTAACACACCACTGGGAATATTTCTGGGACCCACCAAGATACTTCACTTGTAATGTGCTAACAAGCTCATTTTTGGTATCTCTTCAGTGGTAATTTCTCTCTTTCCTGAGAGAGCCTGGAGTTGAGTGCACCAGACATAATGAAAAGCTCAGTAGGAGGGAGAAGCAAGAGGCAATTTTTTTCCCTTTTCAGCCAAATAGAAAATGAGTTTCTGGTAATACACAAAGGCCAGCTTTTTTCTTCCATACAAGAGTGACTGCTGCGAACCGAAGGACTCTATTAACTACGGAAAAACCAGCAGCTGTGACGTTTCTCTAAAAAAGATACTTTCCTTTAACAAGCTGTTAAAAAAATGCCCTTCAGAAATCCAATTACAGTATATCTAGGCTGGGGCTATTGGGGTTGATGTGTAATGCAAAAATATGTGTTTTTTTTTCTTTTTTTTTATACAAAGTGCATCTTATGTTAACATAAAGGAGGATTTGTTGTCTTGGTGACAAGGTAGCACTAACACATACCCTGAGGTGAAGCACTGAACAAAGAGACAGAGCCTTAAAAAGACAAACCTGCAGTGCCTTGTCTTCCAACCATCTGGAAAGTCTGAGTCTGCAGGTTTACAGTATTTTTTATAAGTTGAAAGACTGTTTATCGTTTGTATAGGCAGTGTCAAGAGATTTCAGCACTTCATGTTTTTGAGGTAGATCTGAAACTAGGCCACTGGAGTTGGTGTTTTGTAACACTTTGTTCTGTTTCTAGAGCCTGGGAATGTATCATCATCACATCACTGTCAATAGCAGCTTATTCAGTTCAGGGTCATGATGGCCCAGAGCCTATCCCAGGAAGCACTGGGCTAAAGGAGGATTGCACCCGGGTTGTGATGCCAGTCCATTTCAGGGCACGCACTCACACCAGGACGAATTTACAGATGCTAGTTTCCTGTGGGAGGAAACAGGAGCACTTGGAGAAAATCCATGGGAGAACATGCAAACTCCACGTGCCACAGTGCCTCCACCTGACATGTATATGATTTAAAATTTAATATAACTTATAGAATTTAATATAAACCAGGTCAAGCACTTCTGCACAGCTTCATTTTTTATAAAAAAAACTTCCTTAATTAAAAAATACTTCAGCACCAGAGAAACAAATGGGACTTACTGTTTGTTGAGTTTGGTCTTGAAGGTGTGTGTATACATGTTCACACACATGGTGTGTTTGCTCTTGACACTATCCTAATTTCTCTGTACTGACTCCATCATGCTGTTTGAAAAGTTTGCAGAGTTTTGATGCAGTGGTGGGCATAGGGTGACGAAAAAAGAAAACTAGTTGGAAGTTTGTGTTTTGGGGGGGGGAAGGGTAGTGAATTTCTCAGTTTCAGAGGTACAAGGTTTGCAAGCCAGCGTGTTGGCTTCTGTCCTGATAATTGCATTCAGCTGCCTGCTGCTTCACGATCAACAGCCTCTTGCTTAGCTGCTGCTGAGCGAGAAGGAAATGCTCTCCCACACACAGTCGGCTGCACGCAGCCTCGCCGTGAGCCGGAGGAAGGAGGCTGAGCTCTACAGGCCTGGCAAGGCCTCCCTCTGAACACCACTGGCACTGTGGTGCTGTAGAAACACTGTTGTGAGTGGAGATGGGGCCGTGTCTGGCATCTGCTGCGCTGTGTCATGTTTCGGACCAGGAGACGGTTCCGTGTTGCGACAGGGGTTGTGAAAGTGTGGAACAAAGTTCCAGTCTTGTTGTGAGCCAGATATACGGGCTTGTTTCGAGAAACGGCTAGATCGACATTCTTGGATCAAATAGTCGCTAAATATCAAACAGGCCAGATGGACTCCTCTTGTTTGTAAGTGTGACTCCTCGTGTTCTTATAACCTGCTATCAGATTCCATGTGCTGAATTTCCAGGGCCCTTCTGTGCACGTCTGCATTACAGTTTCAGTCTGGCAGATAAAGTGAACTGTCTTTTGCACTTCAGAGGGCTGCAGAACATGCCCTTCTTAACCGTGAACTGGTTAAGGTGAAAATGCTTCCCAGTAATGTTTTCACTCAGCTGAATTCAGCTTCTTAGAACAAGGACTATAGTCTAGGCTATAGTCACAGGCTTTCTTCTTTATACACTGACGATTTGTTAAAAGGCATTTTCCCTGATTCACATATTGGCAAGGTTTGTTTTCCAGGGTTATCGTCTAGAATGTGAAGAGGCATTGGGGTGTGTTTGGTAAGAATTTAGTTTTAGTTAGGTTTTAGGGGGTAAATATGTATAGTTTTTTTTTATTAAACTATATATCGGATAAATAGTCTGTGTTGTTAGTGTATAACAGATAAACGAGCTACCAAGTATAAAAATCTGCACTCATCATTTGTCATAACCTGACAGATTCTTTTCAACTGGTGGACATTACGAATATCAGGGGGTAATGAAGGTGCATCCAAGCCAGGGGATTATAGCTGAGAGCCTCTTTGAAGCCCCAGTAGTCCTTCTTTGCCGTACTTTCCTCTGCAACACTCTTCCTTCTTTCTTGTTCAGTTAAGTCCATCCTCTTGCCCTTTGCCACAAAGGGCCACGATGGAACAGTGTCTTGCTTTGAAAATCACCCTGTTGTGGAGCTCAGCTGCTTTTGGAGACTGCCCCTGTCAGAGGGGTGGGCAGAGGTGAAGTTTCAGTGAAACCGGAGCTTTCTCGTCGCGTTGCCCTGGGCGGCGGAGTTTGGGAATGCTGCACTGTCCTGTCGAAAGCTCAGTTCGTCCTTGACCAGTCTCCCCAGCTACGAGGAGAGGGCGCGCTATCTGGAGACCATTGTGCAGCACCACCTGGAGCCCACCACCTTCGAGGACTATGCCGCTCAGGTCTTCTGTCCAGCCCCCTTCCACCACCTCCCTGCAGATGCAGGTAAGACACCCACCTCAGCCAGTCGCAGCCAGTCAGTCCATCTGCAGGCTGAGCACATGTCAGAATTCACCTGGAATCCTCAGTGCATCCCCTAAAGCTGATGCAGCATATTATTGTTTACTTGGCTTTTGTGGATTGCTTTGTAATTGGGGAGAGTAAGAGGACTAAGTATATTATATAAAGCTGCATTATTCTTCTTATTATTAGGGGCTTATTACTTAATGTACATAAGCAGACATGATTGAACTACTGTCTAGAGCTCTTTTATATACAGTAACTTAACCTCAGCTTGTAGTACTTAGGTTTTACAAGCTGGAAAATTAAATAGTAAATGAAGATGATGAAACACATTAAGAGACGCTCTATAATTAGAAACTTGTTGCTGTAGTAATTGCACAAAAGCCAATTTGTCAAATAGCGATTGTGTTTGGTTTCTCTAACATTTTGTATTTCTGACTATGAATATTGTGTAATAAAATCTCAGTTCATCCTAGGAAGGATACATGATTCCTTCCTGATTTGTTACTTCAGATGTGCAACTTGAACAGTCTGTTAAAATGATGCTCTGCATTTAAGTTATTAGTCACCTTTTATTTTTTATTTGTCTCTTGGTAAATGCAGTTGTAGGTATTTTTAATTAATTGTTGTAAAACAACAGTCATTCAGTAATTATTACAAATTTACTCCTAATTTTTAGGATGTAGTTTACAGTTTCAGTTTTAAAATGCACTAAGCAGAATTAGTGACGGTTTATAATTGGTGTCCAAACATCCTCAGAACATTGGTAGTACAATTTGGCATTCACTTTGATAGTGATAGTCTTTCCCAGATTATCCCCTGCCTTATACTAGGTTTACAGTGTCCTCTGTATTCTGCCCTTATTCATGAGACTGTAGCATGTATTATTTGTTATGAAATAGTCTAAATCAATACAATGTGCGACTCGTTTAAAAGAACATCATTTTGACATTTTGTGATGTTCGTTTTAAAAGGGGGAGGATTTGAATACTGTAAACATCCACAGTACAGATTCCGTTGTGAACAGAGCCCCGTGATGTCAAAGCTTGTTTCCAATACTACTGAAATTGAGCAACACCAGCTGTTTTTTTTAATTTATGAATTGTAGTTTAGTTCATTTTTTTTTCCATTATTCATTTCTAAGTTATCAACATACATAAAAAAAATTAAAGGGTCACTTAAGCATAAGGAAAAACTGTGTCAGATGAATGGTGTGACTCCAAGATAAAAACTGCTGTCTTTCTTCCGGTCCAGCACTTGACTCAGGTGTCTGGGGAGATGACTGTTTTGGGTGTCTCCCTGGGTGCAGCACAAACACAGCGGTGATGCGCTGTGCTCCCAGTGGAGAAGTGGCTCAGTAGTACGTGATTTACCTGCAGTGTCCACTGGGGGTGGCTGGCCGGAGTATTTCCACAAGGATGTTGCCAAGAGAGAAAACAGGACCATGTGGCCTCACCGGCCAGTCTGCCTTCACCCTGGCGTACAGCGGTACTGCACAGTGTCACATACAGAAGAGGTGTAGACCATGTCCAAGTCTTGTAGCTCAAAGCAGTTGAGGAGGGGATTTGACAGCTGCGATTTGATCATCGCTTGTTCCTGTCAGTTTGTGCCGCTCCTAGAAAAATTGCTCCTAGAGCCTACTCCTCAGAGGTTTCCTCACTAGTCCCTGCAGACTGAACTGGGACTGATCAGTCTGTGTCCTGTACGCTGGTCAAGTTCAGGTGTTAGGAAGCACACAATATCTCTGCGCTGCTGCCTGAGCTCTGGCCATAGTTGTAGCTTCCTTGGATGCAGGTAGCTGGGCCAGTGTGGTGTGGTGCCTGTGCTTAAGTAGCCAAATGGGAGTAGTTAACATTGACACTGAGCTTCCTGTGCTTGCTGCGAGGTTCCTCCGAGCACTGCAGTGGTCCTCCAGAAGCCTCAGGCCTTTTTAAGACGCATATCCCGACCATCTCCTGCTGTCACTGTGGTGTCGGTGAACTTCTCTAACATTTAGGAAGACTTTGCTGCACCCACGGTACCTCTCCATTCAGAAAATCTGCCCTACGATCTGACTGACGAAGGTCAGTTAATTGTTAAATCCAGTACTTGAATCTGGATGCTTTTTTTAATGAATCCTCATTTCCCGAAAGAGGCATCCTTTATTCCCAGCACTTTGCAGTTTTATTGGTTATTAAGCAGATTAAGTGCATTAGGCACAGATGAAATCCATGAATTTTGTCATATTATATCCAGCACTCATTTTCTTCATAGTGTTGGAATAGGGTTTTGTACATTAATGACCCTTTCATTTTTTTGTGTATGTCTTTATTTTTCTTCATTAAAGGGATATCCGCTGTGTATATTTACAATTTTTGTAAATTAAGGAGTTTTTTACTGGAAAAAAGTCTATAATATTGATTCTCATTATATTTTATTAATCCTGAATACTATAGAGGTTGAATGTTTACATACCTTTGTACTGTCCAGTGCAAATCATTCTTTCGGTTTGGCTAAGACCTCTTTTTTGGTGATTGATTTTTCAGTATCAAGCACCACTTCCCTTTTAAAGATATGATTGATTTCCACAGCAGTGTCAACAGTCTTGGTCACTTCATTCTTTCTAGTAAGAGAGATTGTGTTTATTTTTTATTTCATTTTCTATTTTTTCGTTTATCTTATGTTTTTTCCTTTAGATCATTAACTATCACTTGTGTATGTCTGAAGGTAAGACATTTGAGTTTGGAAACAAAAAAGGCTGCTTTGTATATGACTTCCTAGCCTATAACCAAGTTATAAGTCCTTCTTTCCGATGCCTCTGTCTCCACACTAAACGAAATCTCACTCTGCTTTGGAGAAAAGATGAGCACTGTTCTTATCGTTCCCTCACTAACCCCAGGCCTGCATGTCCCTCTAACTCCTGACTCGGGGTTGTGTTCAGCCAGTGGTAGAGGCTCTGTCTTACCCTAAATCTCTCACCGTTATTAGTACTAATTAATACTATTGTTGTACTTCCATTAGTCCAATAACTCCTCTTGTTTTACAATGAGTTTCTTGGCATGGACTACCAACACTTCTCACCTGTGTTAACCTGCTATGTCTAGTGCTAATGTTCTGTGAACTGAGGGTTTGGACATGGAAAGCTCGCTCACTCGAGAGCTGGGAATGCACTCAACCCTTTAACACTCCATGTTTGTAGTGTCTGTTTTCACATAGTAGCTACTGGGAAGACTCCCAGAAGCATTTTATTTTTGAGTATTTGCAAGCAGAAGAGTACCAGGATATAATCTCAGGGGAATCTGACAAATATACCTTAAGTAGACAAAAAAAACCATCATCATTTACTACAGGCACTCTTTCAGCTCAATTCAATACTCTTTAGCTTGCAGATAAGCCCTTGTGCACAAAATGATATAACACTAATTTCTGTATGTACAAATCAAATGATTTGCAAATTACAGAGTTTTTCAAATTATGATTTTTAAAACACATTAACCTAATATGAACCTGCATCTCTGAAAAACTTTTTTTTTATTTCTGCAAAGACTTTTAAGGACCTCATTACGTTTCTCATCGTAAAATTGTCTACATTAGCAAATCGCGTTATTCAGTCACATATCCGTGGCTGTTTTTTAATTCAGTTAACGAGGGGAGTCCCAGTTTGCGCTTCCTGAAGCATCGGTCGTTCAGCATACTTCCACAATGTATTTCACTTCAACCAGATTTTATTTCCAATTGGAAATAAGAACCGTTCATCTTTTCTGCCTAATTCGTTTTTTAATCTAAGATGAAAAAACATGAGCCACTTTCACGCCTGCGCATTGCCAGTGACGTGTGCGAGAAGGGGCTGCTGTGGCGGCACAGGGCCTCTCAGTTCGCTGCCGTGCCGGTGGAAACTAGCGCTCGGTGTGCGGCGCCCACCCACACAGACTCGAGCAGCTCTTGGCCACTAACTGGCTGGCTTCAGGCTTGGTGGGAAGGTGTTCTTGAACGGCAAAAACATAAAGAAGCAAGCGAAGCAGAGCCCCTGGTTTGTCAAGTAAAGCTGAAACGCTTAGTGGCGTGTTGTCTTCGGCTGCCTGTGTGTGCGGGAGCCACTGTAGGGAAAGGTTTCTGATGGGCGGTTCGTGACCGAAAGGGTAAGTCAGTCACTGCTTTGTGCATCAATCAGCATCTCGGTGTGTAGGGTGTCAGTGTACAAGTTATAACATGAGGAGATCTAGCCCTTACTCTTGTGCTCTGCGCACACCTATTATTAATTCCCTTTCAGCCTTGTGTGTCATTTCTCACACCTGTTATCTTTTATCTCTTCTCCCCTTTCTCTCTCCTGTTTCCTTTGTTTAATTTTTGTTGTTGTTGTTGTTGTTGTTTTTCTCCTCCCTCCCCTGTCCTGTCCATCTCTGTTTGCGTCACATTTTTTCTTCATTTCCAACCAAAGAGAGAAATGCTGTGATATTTCTGCTCCTTCCCAAACCTCCACTAGAAAACATTGGCCTCATCAAGGTAAAGGGCAGAGGCTTGAAACGGAAGGTCTTTCACGCTAGCTGTGAATGGTATGCTGAACAACATTGGCACAATTATTCCTTCTTCGTTTTTTTTCCTCCTTTCTGTTCTGATGCTGCTGCTCCTTCCCTGACCCCAACACACTATTCCAGCTCACTTGTACACTTTAAGACATCAGATTTAAGAGTGTTGATTAGTTTTAGCGTCTCTTGTGGTTTGATATTTAAAAGTCCATCAGGAATATACAAAGCTATAAGTGAGGTATGAAGAGGTTATTTTATGCAGGCTCATCTTTTTTTTGTGTTTCACATAGTGTACAGCTAATCTAATGATTGGGTCTTTGTCTTTGTTTTGTTTTTGACACAGTAGATTATCTCAATACAGTAGATTTGCAGTTGTTGAATGACAGCAAGTGATTGTTCTGTTTGCAAGACTATACTTGAATAAACTAGGTAGAATAGCTGACAACAACATACCTTAAAAACATTGCGAGGCTGTTTAACTGTTAAATATAAGAAGTACATCCTTTATCTGTTGTATTTGCAGTTGATTTTTCTTTTAAACCTGTTTGTGGAGACTTTGTTTTTACTTTGTTTAGGACATATCAAATTAATTTTGCTTCCAGTTATTGTACTTTTACAGTTAAAAATAGATATTTAAACAAGTAAAAGAAACCATACACCAAGAAACCCTTTACATGTTGTGTTTTATTTTTGTTAAATGTCATTCTGCTCGGAAACTTGCAAAGAATAGTAATAAATAGTTTTAAAGACCAAATGATATCATAGAGGGAGCTTCACTCCCCAAGGAGACACTGGGGGGGTTTACTGTAGCAAAAGGCTGGATCATTGAAGAGCTACAGCACCTTCTAGGAGAATAAACTGCATAAACAACGCCCCTTTTTGATTCTAATAACCAAGCAAAAGTGTGCCCACACACTCCCTGGGAGATGGGAAACTAGAGGCTAATTTAACTGAGAGTGCAGTTAAATGCATTAACAGAGCACATCAGCGTAGGTGCTTTAAAAAGAATGCAGTGCACAATGCCCAAGCACAGCCACACATTTTTCCGACAGTCCTAAAGAATGCTTGCAGATTTCTCAACAGCCCCCCTGCCAGGCAGGCAAGTCCCTTCTGACGGCTATGCCCCCCTCCCTCACCCCCCCGCCCCATGCTGTCTTTGCAGGCTCATGTCCCGAGAGTCAGCAGGGAGAAGGCCCGGCAGCGCAGGCCGACGGGAGCGACTCAGCCTTACCAATGTCTCCTCGTGCTAGCAAGAGCCGCATGTCCATGAAGCTGCGCCGCTCCTCCGGCTCGGCGAACAAGACCTGAGCGCCGGCGCCCCGCCCCCTGCCCGTCTCCACAGACGGCCCGGACGCTCGCCCGGCTGCTGCCGGGAGGGACGCGCATCCCTGTGCACACGTACGGATTCGCAGCACTCACCTGTGTCCGAGAACAACAAGCTCATCTCCAGTGTGTGTCCTCCACAGAACAAGCAGTTAGCGCATTCACATTGACGCAACCTGTTATTGAAATAATGCAATGATATTGTCATCCAATGTATTATTTTAGCTGTTGCCACTGTGCTTTAAAATGAAATGGGTGCAACCATTTTTCTCCCTCCACACTAATATATGTGGCAGTATTTGTACAGAAGGAAATGACAAAGTGGTTGAAGCTTCTTGGCATACAAATGTGTAGCTTTTTTATACACTGACGATTGTTGTTTCTTCCATAATGCAGTCATTTATACGTGTAACGTTCACAACTTTTTTATTCCAAACAGAGGGGTCTGAAGCAAAACCAACTCATCAGCGTGTGAGGAGGGACTGGGGAACCCCCATTGCATGAAACCTAAATTAAAATCGCAGACATTTTGACGTTTTCATTTTACGAGACAGTAGACAAAATGGCTTCTTTGTTTTCAACAAGTTTAATTTCTCATATTCTTTTCTAATAGACTTTAGTGTTAAATTCTTCAGAAAATATATTTCTCACCCTAGAATATAGTAACGTTCTTTCCATGACAATATTATTGGCCTCCTTTTTAGGTTTTGAAAGCATTAGGAGTATAATATGTAACATCCTAACCTGACGGGTATCCATAAATAAATTAACATCACCTGGCCCGTTGATGTATTTAGTTTTTTAATATGGCACAAAAGTTGAATGAACCTTTAGTGACCTACGAGCAAGTAAACTGCAGGTTACAGAATGAACGTCTTTGTTTGTGGATCGCATTTGTGCAGCAGAGCTGCTTGTTTTGCAGCTTGGCGCTGGTGTGTGTTGAGCTGGTATACTCCGTCAGGCCACTAAATCTAGTCTGCTGTGTCTTCATCCAGATGAAGAGTTGTTCCTCTTCAGAAATGACTGAATATCCTTTATATAAGCCTTTGTGTAGTTTTAATATTGGGTATTGGTATTATAAGGAAGAGACTACCCCATTCTAAAATTAAATTCTTACTCTTGTCCTAAAGATTATAAATTGCAAATAAAAAAAGACTGAAATATGTAAATCTGCTTCTTGAGGTTAAACAAGACTACAAGATATGTGGTTTCCTAACTCAATGCAGTAGGAGGGCACGATTTTCCATTGGCTGTGTTCTATAGATAAGAAAGCAGCACTACTGAAACCTGTGGAAAGTAGACACCAAGAGTTTGCACTGTTGTGTGGCACTAAATATGGCTCTGGGACCTCTGCACTTGAAATAATCTTGTACCATCTACAATGCTGCCTTGTTTCCCAAATTAGCTGAGAACAGTACTGCCCAGCTGTGATAAAGTGCACATCTATATACTGTGTGTTGCTATTGAATGAGGATCAAGGAGGTTAGTAGTGCTGTCAGATACCCTGTGTGACCTATGTAGCTCTTACAGAAGTTGCCAACTTTGTATCTGTTAGGAATTTGACAAAAGTACATCTATTGTTTTTTTTTGTGTGCTTTTTTATGTTCAGAAATAGCTTCTCTTTTAGAGAGAAAATGGTTTATTATTTGTGGTCATTTTCTGACCAGCACAGATTTTACTTATTTTTTTAACTCTTAGAATGCTGGCTTGTTTTGTTTTACATGCTGTCCATTTTAAAGAATTCAGTATGGATGTTTTTTTTTTTTTGTTGTTGTTGTTGTTGATTTCATGTCTATTTTCATTTAATGTCGTGTGACATTGGATGGAATTAAAATGGGTCAGGAATGGTGTTGGAGCTCACCATTACTTGTCCAGGTGTTCAAAAGGTGAATTTTTCTTTAGCATTTTTTAATACAAATTGTTGTGGATGGTTTACGCTGAAAATTCTTGTCAAAACATGAAAGCTGTTAAACACTTATGCAAATGTTGGGATCACCCCCCCGTATAAAGAAAACAAGTAAAAAAGTTTCCATTTTTATATTATTTTGAAGAGAAAGCTCATGCAGCATTCTAAGGTTTTTTTTTGCTAAATAAAAACAGTGAATATATATATATACTGTATTCCAGCTTTTGGAATGTGTGCATAATATAAAAGGAAAACCTTGGCTCACAATCAATAGTCTTTTGAGTAATATATGTTACTACTAACCAAATGCAGCATGACATCAGTACTAACTGCATGTGTGAAAATAAAATCTATACAGTACTGTCATACATGTAGTATCTATACATTTGTAATGGCTGTAAAGGAAAGAAAATGGAGGTGCGATTTAATTTGACAATAAAACTATTCTTACCATTTGTGTTCTGTAGTGTTTTTTCAAAGTACATCGCATTGGATGACGGAATGATAAAAGTCTTTTTACTTGCATTTGACCTATGTAATTAAAAAGGTTGTGAACGTTTTTTTTTCTGCTTTACTTCAGCTTATGGTTTAAGAAGAGTGCTGCTGAGTTCTAGAGACGGGGATATTAAGATACTACGTTGATGTGATGAGCAGGTTACCTTGACACTCATGATGGAAACCTGTGGAAAATGCAGTGCACAAGAGTCTTCACACCTGCACCAGTCTAATTAGTTGGAAGAGCCAACTAAACGCCTTTCTCATGAACCACAAACTACAATACTTTAATGTACTGGACTGTGCAGCATTTCACTTGGAAAATGTTTTCTGTTGCAGTGATGGAGTTCGTTTACTTGGAAAGTCACCTGAACGTATTGCACCCGAGTCCGTTTTTGATGGTATTTGTTCTCCCACTATGTCTCATCCTAGCTTTCCTAATGATAGCCAAAAGTAGGACTATGTCTTTTTCATTTAGCGGTTTGGGGCTCAATCCTAACTGTAGTCAATTCCGGTTGACTGTGCTTTGACAAGTAATCCATTTTCAATTTCTGTCTCCAGCTGCTGGAAAGCAATGCCAGGAGCTGTGAATGAAGGTAATTACTGTGGTAGTTAAACTGCAGCTGACTGCAGCCCTGGCTCAGCTCCTGCACCAGCACTGAGGCTTCCTGCTCCCAGCCTTCAGGCGGGCGGGACATGCCACCGAGGCTGCTGGTCTGACTTCAGAGGCGCCGGGCTGGGCTCCTCTGGGGCCGAGTGGCTCCGGCTCCTGTTTTCGCCACAGCCTGGATGCTCAACTGGACAAAGGGAAGTCGTCTCGCCGGGACGCAAAATGTTTAGGTTTAAAGCCAGTTCGAGCATGTGAAACCTGAAAATCGTAACCTCGGAAGATCTTGAAATGGAGTGAAGCGGGCTCGATCGAGCAAGCGACGAACAATTAAGTTACCTGAGGGCTTAACGGTTGAAAAACTGGATGAGCTTACCATTGGCGAGGAGTGTGTTTGGCTGTAGATTAAGTGAAACTGGCCGGTCTAGGGTCTGTGAATCACTGGTTGCTCCATTTAGACTTTCATCTAAGGACCACTTTGAAGCACCAGATAGAATAAGGAACAATTGAGCCACTTAAATTTTACAAAGATGAACTTGATGTTCAGCATAATCCAGATCATTAACAGCCTGTATCTGTGGAATTTTAAGGTACCGTCCATGACAAATTGATCTACTTTAGAACACAAATTACGGGAGCCACTAGAGTTCAGTTTTAGTTTTGTAAGACCCCTCTGCGTGTATTAAAACAAACATGTAATCGGAGCAGCTAATTAAGAACGTGAATCCAGCACCAGTCCTTGTAGCGCTCTATAGTCTGTGACCATTCCTCTGCATGTTTCTGATCTCCAGAAATGCTCTAAGTGACATTGTTTAGTGTGCACAGCTCGTTATTAGACCATCACCTTTTTTCTTCACAATCTTGTTGATATAGGCTGATAAATTCAGGACGATTCCACTTTTCCCTGAGTTTCTGGAACAAGCATTTGTGATCGAAGCCACCAAAAGGTTAAAATTCAAATTTATTGTAATATACGAAAATAGCTTAAGAATGATGCCAGCATTGTAATAAAATACAGTGTGAACTTTCAACAGATCTTATCCATAAAAGTAATACGCTAAAAAAATATAATACAAGTCTGTTATAAAACTGGTATGTGTTCGTATATTATTACTGTTTTTGTAAAAGACAAACTCAGTTTGTTATCTGTGCGTCACTTCATCTCGGCTTCCGTGTTTTAAAGACCGGAATTGGTATATTGGACGGTCCCCCGGAATGCTGTCGTTGAAATCAGACCGGTTTCGCAGGAACCACTGCTGCAAACCTATGAACACGACCCAGATAGCGCGCCGTGACGCGCTGGCACTCCAGGGTACTGGGAGTAAGAGGGACCAGTTTTACAATCCTTGGCTAAATACAATACAACACGATATAGACGACACGTTACAGTTAGTGTTTAAAATCGTTGTATTACCCTTTGGTTAATATATATAATGTGGATATATAGATATGGTTTAGCACAATAATTTTCAATTAAGTATATTCTAGACCCCACATAGAAAAAATATACATTATGTAAATGACTGAATTAAGACGGACAATGTAAGGGTATATATATATAATGGAATAGACATTAAGAAGCACATTACCTCAGATTATATGTTGCAAAAAATAAATACATTATAATACCTGTCACCAACACTGTGCACACCAGCAGATTTATTGTATTATTTTATGTAGGAAAAATAATTTTATATTATTTTAAAAAAATGTTTGTCACTGCCTTACACCTATACTGAACAAACATTCAATTTCCATAGGAATTACAGTTTGATAAGATTTTAATGTAAGATTCCATGGGCTGATTTTTCATGGATTTTGCTCCGATGTGTTATTAATTGCATTCTTGTAAACCCGAAACAAATCATTTTAAATTACGAGTTCTTGTAGACATACGGGCTGTTTTCACTATATAACGCAGCTGATCTGTATGTAAACACTTCTTTAAGCTCAGCCTTCCTGATACACGGACTTAAGAGCCAAGGTAAATCTTACCTTGCGCTTGTGTAATCACAGCGATTACTTTATACAGAGTTCAGTGTATTGCTTTCTGTTTTCAGTTATTATAACACAACAATTAATTCTACACCAATATACAGCATCAATACTTAAGCATGTACTTTCCTCAGATATAAAGCCCGACAAAATAACTGTTTTCTAATGCGATCCAACCTATTCTGATTTTCCTTTAGTCTTTATTGGAAATAACGAAAATACCCTAAGTATGGCTAAATATAATGTATATATCCATTTGATATGATATTCTTGATTGATTGAAAACATCATAGTGGTACGGAGTTATTTGCTGTGAGAAAAAAAAAACCCAGCAGGAATCTCACGGACACAGAGGAGAACTTCTAACGTGTCCGGCTCGGAAGCGATCCGCTGCAGCTGGCGCCGGTCCGGACGCAGGTACGGTCACGGGGAGTCAGCAGCCCGGCCGAACGGGCACCTGCAGCAGCAGCACCTGGCGGCTCTCGGTCGGGTGCGACTTGTTGATGTGCCTCGTCAGTCCTGGCGAGCTGAAGAAAGTCGAAGGGCAGTGTTTGCAGGAGAAGATCTGCTGCTCGCCCTGCGTGAGGTCCTGCCTGCCCAGGGGCCTGCTGCTTTTCCCTGGGCCCAGGAGAATCTCTCCCCGCACCGCATGCCACATCCTGTGCTTGTCCCTGATCTCCGCCGAGGGGAAATGGGCGCCGCAGAGGGGGCAGGGAAACGTGATCTGGCCGCTTTCCAGCGGGCTGTACGAGGACGACCTGACTGTTTCGTGCGCCGCTAGGTGCTTCCTCAGGTAAGCCTGCCTGCGGAACTTCTTGCTGCAGTAGCTGCACTCGAACACCTCCTCGGCGCCGCCGGGGCCGGGCAGGTAAGTGGCGGCGGTGGCCTCCGCAGCCTGGGCGCAAGCGACCACCCGGGAGCTCTCCACGCTCTGCAGGTGCTGGGCGAGGCACTTCCCCGCCGGGGCGAAGCACGGGTCGGCAGGCAGGGCGCTGCTGTCCTGAGGCGCCCGGTACCGCTGCTGCTGCTGCTCCGCCGCCGCGGCCGCGTCTGTCGCAGGGCGCTGCTGAGCGGCGCACCCGGAGCTGTCCGGCGCCCGGGGGTGCTGATCGCTCTCCTTCCCCTCCGCGCGGGGCGTGTCGGCGGCGCTCTCGGCCGCCTTCCTGACGGGCTGGCTCTCCCCGCTGCCGGTGGGGCGCGGCTTGTGCCACCTGCGGTGGGACGCCAGGTTGGCCGGGCAGCTGAAGACCTTGTTGCACTCGGGGCAGCGGTACTCCACCCGGACTATCCGGGAGCACTTGTGCTGTGCGAGAGAGAAGGGGTCGGGGTACTCTTCCTTGCAGAGCTGGCAGATGAACTCGCCCAGGGGCTTCCCGCTCCCCGCGGGAGGCGCCGCTCTGGGCTCCGGGCTCTCTTTCTTGATCTTCAACCCAAGGACCGGCGAGGTGGTCACCTCGTCCTCGAAGTGGAGTTTTCTCATCGCCTTCGGCTTCTTCGCCGGAGGTTTCCCCCTGCGGTCCGCGCCGTGCGGGCAGGCCCGCTTCATGGAGGGGTGCAGAGGCGAGAACAGCCGCACAGGTGTTTCCATTTGGACCTCTGAAGGCGGGAAGTGGGAGTGCTGCATCAGGAGCCTTTCTATGGGGGACACCGGCGTGCTGCCGGGGAAGGACTCGGCCGACGCGGGTGAGTTCAGGCACCTCTCAAAAAACGATTTCCTCAGCTCCGCGCCTACGGGCTTCATCGGGCTGTAGGAGGCGTCGGCCCGGCCGGGAGAGCCGTGGTCGGGAGCGGCAAACTTGGGCTGGGGGGGGTCGGCTGCGATCACACTGTTCCCCGCCCTCTCCGCGCTCTCTGCCGGCCGTGTTTGCGCCCCCCCTGCGGGAGAAGGGGCTCCACTCTCCGGAGAGGCTGCGGACGCCGGCGCACCTGAGCCCAGGTTGGCAGGGGACACGGCGGCGTGCGCCTCCGCGGTCTGCGAGGGCTGGACCAGATGAGGCGGCTCTCGGTCCTCGCCGCGCACTCTGTAAGATGCCGGGCAAGTCCGTTTGCTCCTTTTCACTAAAAATCCCCTCGGCATGGTTTCAGCCCGCCTGGAGAAGAGCTGTGGGCGCGGGTCGGGGCTGTCGGAGCGCACGTGGAGAGCCGGCGCTGGTCTCTGCCGCCCCAGAGATCGGGGCTTGTTTTTTATCGTTGGTGCTGCCTTTTGTTTTTCGTGAAGTCACTATCGGTGTCAAAGCCCTGTCCAATCAGTAATCAGAAGGGGCTAGCTGGGCCCGAAGACGAGAGGGACCAGAACTGGGAGGAGCCTGCTGGATTAAGTATTCACGTCAATTCACAAGTAGACCTTAATCCGTAACGATGTTTATAACGTTTGTAACATGCCCCCGACAATTACATTAAGGCGAAAGTATTGTTTTTGTGACAAACGTGGCTATGTTTTCAACATAGCTCCTGAAAACACGAATCATGTTAGTGTAAATATTCATATTCCCTATTAGATCAGACACCAGCTGAAATAACTGCTGCTTAGGAAACGCATCTATACTATAGACTGAAAGTTGGGCTACTCGTTTTTCAGCTTTTATCAGTAACTCGAATTAAAACTCCCATTTTGTCAGTAACTGTTCCATTTCCTTCCAAACACTGTTTCGGATCGACAGCAGTACAGTTAAGCAACGTCGTTGCAAGTACAAGATGTCAAGAAGAAGTTTGTTTTTCTTGTCCGTGCCTGCGTTACACCGACGCGCCCCCCCTTCTTTGTAGCAGCTAGTATGGGCTCTATTTCAGAGGATAATAGTACGGAGAGGATAATACACAAAAGAGCCAGAAAGTTTTTACAATGATCACCTCGCCAGCATAAACGAAGTGGTCGTTAACCAGTCCTACCGATGTCTAATTCCGAATTGCTCGTGGGAGAACAGGACCGTGCAGGATCCACACGCCAGCACACGGCCGGTTCGCGGTAGTGTGGTGTCTGTGTTCACAGTTTCTCGCGAAACACACTCTCCTCGCAGGTGCCGCGGGGCAGTTCACCTTCCAGGAAAGGTGTCTGACGGAGGTCGAGACACCAAAGTGCTTAAATATCTGCGATTGAGGTAAGGGACTGCAAACATTGGAATAAGGAGCAAGAGCGATTTAATCGTCTCTTACAGGTTTAGACGGTGCAAATTTTACACAACATATCGGAATTGTTACACATCGAAATTGTAGTTCTTTTTTTCTGAATGAATGGCACAAGTAAACTGTTTAAACATTTATTCTATGCATAAGCGTACCTGACGTTTTCAGAGTAGCCGTACTGAAGCTTAAACCCCACACATCGTGGCGAGTCAAGACTTACAATGAAGGTTGCTAAATTCTGTTTCTAATCACAGAAATATTTTATAATGTGCACATCACCGGTATTAATTGTCATATATATGTTTAAATTCGGAATCACAATGAAATACACCCGATGTTTTGAACAGAAGCATCAATTTGCAGTATTAACACAAATACAAGTAGCCTGCTCCATGTCTAAGCTTAATGAAAAGTTGCGTTTTAATTTCAATTAAATACATTTCTTTTCTTCTATCATAATGCGAGTAAAGAGCAAAAAAAACATGTTTTCTGTTTAAATAAATTCTGTAAGAATTCTACTTTAATGCGAAGCCTATTGAAATCATTTCAACGCAAAGGCTGTTTTACTGACGGTCCTGTTCTGATGTGGAAAGTCCAGAGTCGGCTCACACGTCTGTCGCTGTCACGGCCTCGGATCGCCTTTCTGCCTGATTTAATTCACGAGCACGGCGAAGCGAGCTCTCCCGGAAAGAGTCTCTGCCACGTCACATTCCGTGGGAATCTGAGTATTCCCTAAACCGGGATAGCGGTGATGTGGTAACGGCATAGAAGCATCGGAAATATGAAGTTACACGGCAATACGGACTGTGTCCAATGAGGACTCTCGACTGGGTATGAGTTTGCAGTGAAGGAGTTTTGCAGTTCAGTTTGTCATCGAATGCGATATCAGTTAGACCGTATCCGTCCTCAGAGTGCCCACCGGACAGCTTCTCGCACACCTCCAGACCCCTGCTTAATGTGGGACGACATATTGTATGATAGGAGCTTTTTTGTCACCTTTGTGGTTCTTACCAAACCCTAAAGGCAAAGTAAAAACGATTCCTCAGATCATTACTTTCATTACTTTCTTTTTCTTTTTCTTTTTGTTTTTCTGACATCCTTTGTCGGAATATCAAAAGAAAAAATTGGGCTAAACGCGAGGCAAAACAGATTTTCATCACCTAACCTAATGTGATTCGGTGTTTGGTGCTGTGCTCCAGAGTGCTCATAATTTTTAACCTTTCTCGGAATTTTGTGATAGTTATTATATGCATTTTCTGTGTACCAGATTAGTAATTATGATGCCGGGATTCTTTTGACGTGATTGATCTTACGGCATCCCGCATGATTGGACATTTGTAAGCAGGCTACCATCTTAATCTCTCCATTCGATGCACTTTACCTGATCTTTCATTAATGCCACCAGAATGCACACTGCACAGCCACTAATGAATGTTAGATGCATGATTAAGCAGTTTAATTCAAACTGCAACTCGACTTAATGTAATCTTCCTTTCAGACGTCCATTAGCAGAGGCCCTTCGTAGGCGCATTTAATTGGTGAGATCCTAACAGATACTCCATTAGTTATTTCATGTTTCTCCCTCACCCCTGCTTCTGGCTAGACGCGTGCGACCTCTTGGTGTCGGAACACAGCGCATTAACGTCGTGACTTCGGGAAGACGTGGCTTTATTGTGAGTAATAAAGCATCTGTCCGCACGACGAGCCCCGGACAGCAATACACCTCTTTGTGCTGTTTGTCCCCTAATTCTTCACAAATGTGCGAAAAAAAATTAAAATGAAAAAACAAACCTACACAAATAAGTTTATAATAGGAGTTGAGACTGTTAATTCAGTTATTCTTGTTCTTGTTCTTGTTCTTGTTCTTATTCTTATTCTTATTCTTATATTCTTCGTGTAAACTATCACAATTTCAGTCTGAGGGCTAATCAGTTGTTATCCTGGGGATTCTTTCATTCGAGATGTAGCGCGTTTGCGCGGATGGACGGGTGGATTAATGACATAATCAAAGTGCTGTGGACTCTTCAAAATCGATTCCTGCCTGCGAGGCCTGCAGCCGCAATGAGGGTGAGAGCAGTGATTGGACTGGGGGCCTGAGCGCCACACAACTAATTTCCTGCGGATCGCTCCCATTCGGCCCCCGCGGCACAAAATGATGGGAACGACTTTATTTGCCTTTTCCCAAGTGAGGATCCTCCGCTATCTTCCCAGCAGAAGGGTGGTGGAGCTAACGCCGTTGAGAGGATGGAGCGTGGGACCACATCTGCAGGCAGCTTCCACCACTGATAACCCGCCAGCGGGACAGAGCGGGCCGGCGGCCTGCCACCTCCCCGCCGGGGCTGCGAGCGCCGATAAGAGATCAGAGCCGCACAGACAGCCTCATTCCTGCGGCCACAGAATGGCCAGTGTGTGTGTGTGTAGGGGGGGTGACTGGAACATAAATTAACACAGATGCTGCCAGAGGATCAGCGGAGAGCGTTGTAGCTGGTGATTCGGGCTTTCTCTGAAATAGAGCATTGCCGCTTATTTGCAAACGAATTTGCGAAATTGAAAGCACAGGCCGTTGACAGTTAATATAATGTTGCCAGGACCTGTCCCGCCCTGAAGTTTATATTCGGGGAGGCGTGCATTCCAGACGGCGACCTTTGGACACTCCTGGACCTAATTGACACAGCAGAGATTGCCATGAGAGAGCAGCGCTGAGCTGGGAAGCAGATATTCAGCAAGCCATACCAGAATGAAGCAGACTGGTTGAAGGTGGCCCCTCCTGTGCGTGCCATTGCCCGTGCGCAAGGCCGGCGGTACAGGAGCAGTTCAGATCGTCCAGGCCCGCAGAGTAAAGAGGCATTTAAACCGTGCGGGCAAAACATCAGTACAACCGCACAGCTCCTCTAAAACTGGAGTTGTCCCATCTAAAATTTCTTCTTCTTTCTGAAAGAATAGTCAAACTGATCGATTCTGTGAGCAGTAATCCGTATCCAAATCCACATTTCTTTTGGCTTTGCTAGATCTTCATTCATTGGTGTGAATGAAGATCTAGCCATGAAGATCTGGTGCACTCCATCCTGTAAGAGACCTTCTGTTCACTGTGTATCATTTCCATGTTTGTTTGATGCAAAAAGTCTACTTGTGTTTTCACCAGACAGACAGAGCGCGGTTCACATGCTGCTTCACGAAGTGACAGGTCACGTCGGCCAGGTTTCTGCCTGTACGCTGTGCAGTCAACAGTTTATTTCAGGGGTGTTTGTTAATGTATCCGTAATACCGTATTTATACCTCCCTTCTTAAAAAAAATACGAATTCACGTTCGCCGACCAGTTACATGAAAAGAACCATTCTACATTTCTGACCCCACGGAGTTCATGCACTCTAATTAGACAGCGGGAGGTTTACATGAGGTTTACATGACCCCCCCCAGTGCGACCCACCCTTCGGATAAGTGAGCAGACTGTCAAAGATGAGTGTATTGATTTATTTCTTTTATCCCGCTTAAGTAACATTCTGGGCTTCTCCTCCTCCAGCATGAGGCTTCCAAATCACCGAAATAGTTAATCAATCCCCCGCTAGCAGCACGTAGGAATGCGCTTCGAAACCTGTAATCATTTGCTTAACGAAATCTAAGCAGCCGCGTTTCTGCCGGGGAGGGTCGTTATTCTGTCGCTGCTGGAGGGCTGGCGCGATCCCGCATGACGACTGGCCTGCCGGAGCAGCGCTGATCCGAGGCGACGTTCAGCACTGCGGGAAGCGGACAGCTCCCGCACCTACACGCTCCGGCAGGCAGAAGGGCCGCCGTTTGCTTTGTAATTAAAAATTAATTGTTGCTAATTAGCGCCAGCGTTCGACCGACCCAGGCGGCGAGAGGCGCCGAGTATTTCTGTTTTGATTGCAGTAATCATTTTGAATAATGTTAGGGGGAAGAGGCGCAAATTTAATCCCCAGGCAGGATGACAGGGTCACTGATAACGCGTTTTGCCGGAAACGACCCGTAAACAGCAGTGACGGAGTCTGAAAAATAAGATATGATATTCACAGCAAAATTAACGTTCCGTTCTTTCCAAGTCTACTTTTATTGCTAGTGCGAGAAGTGAGCACTCTATTCCTCGATTTACTTAACGAAATGAATCCGTTGCTGTTCGTAAAAAGAAACACCAGTCGACCTTTTCACTTTAAGTGCTGATCATTACGTGTAGGAGTTGCACTGACAGTATTTTTATATAAACCTTTATGAACATTTTATTTGCTCGGGGTTTAATTGTTCTACATCTATAGACAGTCTGTGTGCCACTCTGTGTCCATTATATATTTGCTTAAAGTTCAATTCGAAAGAGCGGTGTAGGTCTCTTTCAGGCACGGGGTCCTGCTTGGGGGATGCACTTGACTGCTTCATGTTTGCGTGTAATAATGTCTCGCAAGAGCTCCGTGTTCTTGTACTCAGGAGAACACTCCTAATTTATTCATTTTTCTGCATTACTCGGGTGCCTCACAAGAGGGCGCCAACAGACGTTTTTAGTTGACAAAACAAAGGGATTGCAAAGTTTTATAATGCTGTACGTTAC